ACACACAAAACAAGAAGAGGACACCATTATGGAAAATAATCTCCGCTAAATTTGAAAAAGTAACAATTAAACTTTCTTTTTGGTCACGTTTGCTCAAGACAAGCGTGCAGTGTTTCTTGGGATTATTATAATCTTTTTCATACCGTGGTTTAACAGGATATGTCAGCTAGATTGAAGCATTAAATTGCATAATCTATGGCATTCTTGGAAAGCTAATCAATTTAGCTAGCATTTCCAGAAACTGGTATCTCTCTTAGTATGCTCGGTATTATATTGGAAGAAATTAGTGAAAGTACCTGTACTAAGTATAATGTGTACAGAGTCACCTAACTCAGAAGTTTGGACCAATGTTAGTGGTGTTACTGGGTTTCTTCAAACATTAGTTTAACTTTGTGTTCCCTCATTATAACTTTGAAACTCTATGAAATAACATAAAACATAAATGACTTACGTATTTGCGCAGTTGTCATAAATGACTGGCTCCATTCTTAACTTTCTTTAGTTTGGGTTCACGCATTCATTTTATCTTGTAATTGTAATTGGAAGTCTGAACTTGATTTTCATGATTGTGTTTCAGACCATGGTACTGCCCTTCTTTTATTTTCCTAAGCTGAGGGTTTTTTGGAAACAACCTCTCTGCCTTCTTGAAGGTAGGGGTAAGGTCTGCATACATTTACCCTCAACAAACCCCACTTGTTGTTGTTGTTGTTGTTTTTTTTTTGTTGTTGTTGTTGTTGTTTCAGACCATGGTAGCTAACAATTCTGTACTTCTGTAATAACTAATGCTTTTACTTTCTTTTTCATTTTTTTGGTGCAGGTGTATGCAATGTCTGCAGCATGCGAAACATGAATATTTTCTTGTGAAGAATAAACTTGAAACTTTGTTTAGGGTAAGTACTCCACTAAGAATGCAAAGCTATCTGGAGTTCTTTTTTCCTTCTCAAACCCAAAAAAATAAAAATAAAAAATAAATATATATATATATATATATACACACACACACACACTATCTGGATTGTGATAATAATACTAGAAGTGTGGTGTGTCTCACTGATTATATTGCTAGGTTTCCCCTATGTTTAACCATCGACTTGTCAGTTTCACAAATAACATCTTCATGTTTTAGTTGACTCAACATGTGCTTTCACTCTGGAATTCGATAAGCAAGGTTCTAATTTAACTTAAGGCGCTGTATTTGGCAACCAAATAACACATCAGCCTCACCATTTCTTTTCCTTTTATTTTTTGAATCCTTGATTCTCCTAATGAGGCATCTTTCTAAGTTCTTGCTTCCAACTGGTTGGTAATGTCTTCTTGTCACCTTCATTAAGCAGTTGAATATAATATTCTGGCGTCAAAGGTAAAAGCATTTTTAATTCCCTAAAGTCCAATAATGTTTGAAATCAACTTAAGCTTTCACATTATCTTTGACTTTCTTAGATAATCAAAGACATGGACCAATATAGATAAATAATTCTTTCTAAAGTAAAAAAGGATCTCAGCATCCGAAAGTCTGCAAAATCAGCTCAAGAATTTGATCTAATCTGTCTTGTTTTGACAATGCAGCTGGAGCAACAAATCTTGGCAGCTGGTGGTACAGTTCCTGTCCTGTCTTAGGTGCTAATAACATTAACACAAGGCGAGAACAAAAAATAAAGTAGGGGGTTTTGCTGCTGCAGAGTTTTTCAAGATGTTTCATGAGCTGCTTTGACTCCCTAGGTTCTAATTGTTTAAGGTCGAAAGAATTTCATGTGAATAACATATTTTACCATCTTTGTTGCTTCATTTTTTATAGGCTTATCGTTCTATCTTATTTTCGACTTGTATTTCTTTGTTTTATAAACTCAATATTAATCATAATTCGTGTGCCGGGTGATTGTTTAAAGCCATTATTAGGCATTTGTAGAACTTGAGATGACAATCTTGTAAGCATTATAAATATAGGAGGATTGTGTTTGATGCCCAAATTGATGCTTTTTGTAATTTGTCCTCTCTTTTTTGTGAGAATGTGGACTCTTGTTTACGAGCCAAGCAACCTGTGTATAGCACGTAAAAGTTTAACATTTGAGCAGTTTGACAAATTTGTATGGAAAGTTAAACAGGAATAAAATGGTGTCAGATATTCTAAGACGTCCCAAAATGGAAAGAGTGAAATATAAATTAGACGGAGAGATTACTAATTGTTATGCGAATGGTTTTCTACTTTCTTACATAGGCAACAAAATTTTCTTCACTCTTTCATTAAGTCTTTTGATTGATAGTATGGAAGCAGAGTAGGCGTAAGAGTCCGAGCAAGGACATCTGTGATCATTAGATTTTGAATTGCAAGAAGTAAACATATACTTTGGCTTGTAGCACTGCCATCAAATTATTTTGTGAACAAATTGTGTGATAGCGTAATAATTTATTGTTCAAAAGATAGGGAAGAGTTTGCTGAGGCGTAAACTGCATTGGTTATTATTTACCCGAAAAATTGAATAGAGTTAAATTTGTGTATGGTTCTAAGGATATGTGATATAATTTGATACAAATCGTATAGAGAAATATAAATACATGTATTCTTGACTATGAGAATGAGAATAGTGAGAAGCAAAACGAATAAGATAAATGAAAATAAACACAAGAGGATATCTTTCAATATGAGAAGAAAATATTTTGTTACAATGTGTGAACCTCCCTTGTGCTTACAATGATTCNCTTGAGTTCGAGTTTGACATTCGGGGTGAGTGCCAATCGGTCTATGCATCTCCGACAACCTTCTCGTTGCCTTGCGGTTCGATTTGGTCATGGGCTTGATAATGATACCGAGCCGACTCCTCGATCGGTCTTGGAGCTCGAGGCTTGTTTGTACTATCCTCGGAACACGTCTCGAGCTCTCACTTCGATCGCTTACCATTAGAACTCGATCAAACGTACGGAGGCCGAAATCTATTTCGACCGTATACAGATAGTCCCCTCGTTTCTCAGGAAGAATGTGGTGAGAAGCGATATGATTTTCGATGGCTCAATCGGATTATAAGCTGAAGTTTTCACTGGGCTCGATCGTGACGTATGTCATAGCTATCCCGTCGATTTAGTCTTTCAAGGTATTTAATGCATGTCAGACGGTGGTCGACCACCGCTGATACTGAACCGCCACGGTTTAAACCTATAAATAACCCTTCCATTTATCATTTACCACTTTTACATCTTCAATCTCCCAAATTTTCTTACTCTTTCTGCCTCTATTTCGCCGCTTGTAGAGCCACCTTCGTCAGCGTTTGGCACCATCAACCTTTCATCTTCCTTTGCTTTTCTTTCTCTTACATCAATGGCAAAAACTTCAAAAAATCGTACCTCAGAAGGAGAAAGCTTCCTCTTCATGGTCGTCCGGCGACAAGGCATCGGTGGAGCCGCCTCCCCATGAGTATGTTCCTGGCCCGTGTACTCTGAAGATCGATTTTAAGGTTGAAAATTCTTCGTCGGTTCCGGGCCGATGTGAGCATGTGTCGATGTACATGTGCTCGATAACAGAGGGTCATCTCGAGGTTGTGAGAAAAGACTGCAACTGGGGTCCCGAGGTTGTGTTGCAAATTCCCTCTCCCGAAGAGAGCGCCATCACTCATATGGAGGGGTTTTTAAGTATTTATACTTACCCCTTCACGTTGGGTCCGGTCGACCTAGTGATCATTGATTTTTGCAAAAGATATCAGGTCACCCTCGGTCAAATTCATCCTTCTCTATGGCGCACAGTAACCTTACTTCGCTTCTTCTCCAACAAGGCCGGGGGGCTGGATTTCACCCTAAATTACCTCATACGATTGTATCGGCCTCAAATATTTCGAGGACTAATCAGGCTTCATCGTTGGGGATCGAAAGCTTNGCATCGAAAGCTTTGATGTCGAGCATCGACAAAGACAAGGATCGGGGTTGGATGGGCCGTTATATTCGGGTGAGGACCCGTGACCTCATTCCGGAAGAGAAGATGTCGTTCCCCGGGGAATGGAATTTCGCCCGTAAGTGGTTTTCATAAGGCGTTGCTTTTCATATCTTTCTCTAATTCTATCTGATATCTTTCTCTAATATGCAGCTGCCCCTTGGATGCCACAAGTGGTACCCGACCTCGAGGATTGTGTTCGGAAGCTAGCCTCGACTTTCTCTTATACCGAACGCGCTTAGCGTGATTTGGCAAAAGGTAGATGGGAGGCCAAGAATCACGGTAAGGGTCACTTCTTATGTTCTTCGAAATGTTTTTTTTGCTCCATTCGTTACTGATTTCCTTTCATGCAGGTATAACCAAGGATGTCGTTTTGAGGCCTTCGAGTGGTGAGGAAGGAACTAAGTCCCCGGTCCCGGAACCGGGGAAATATAAGAAGCGAAAAGCTGTCTCTCGGTCAGAGGACCCCAAGCCCAAAACTCGAAGGGTGAGGAGGAAGACAATTGCTCTTTCGACGGACTCGGTCCAACGACTGAGAGAAGAAGAAGAAGAAGAAGAAGAAGAAGAAAAAGAAGAAGAAGATGATGATGCTTCGACTTTGGTGGTCTGATCTGCAAAAGCTATCGAGGTCGCCAGACCTTCTGAGCCGATGACGGCTATACCGGTCGGGGTCGGTTCCGATACCCTAAGTCTTGATCAGAGCGTCACGAGCGATTCGCTTGGGACTATGATAGTGGGTCATTTTCCTTCTCTTCCGACCTTTTCTGAGGAGGCGTTAAAGGAAGCTCGAGAATTGAAGACCCCTGATATGGGTGGAGGCTCCAGTGTCGGGGACCCTTTCGGGATTGCTTTACTGGAGTCGATGATGCCTCCGATATTAGTGACACTTCTCTTCTCCTAGAAGAGGCCCAACATTTCATTTCTTAGGTAATAATTTTACTATGCTTGGTTTCTTCATTCTTTTCTAAACTTGACTTGTGTTTTTTCCATACTGTGCAGGCCATTAGCAGGTTTCGAGTCGACCTTAGCCAGTTTGAGGTCGAGCTTCAGAAGGTCTCGGGGGAGAGAGATGCTCTGCGGCTTCTTTGCAGCCAAAAGGATGAGGTTATAAAGGACCTCCAAGCAGATTTGGCTAAGGCTCGTGAAGAAGAGGCCGAACTAGATAAGCAGGTGAGCCTCGTTCTGTTAGAGTATAGGTTTAACCCAACTGTAGAAGCTAACCCTTCGTTATCTCAGCTGCAGCAAAAGGTAGAAAAGATCGGGTTGCTTCGGGAAGAAGTCGATCAAATCAACGCCGAATGTGACCGGTGGAAGGAGACTATCAACCGCCTGGCTGTAGAAAAAGAAACCATCTTGGCCAAATTATTATCGGCCGATGTTCAGCTTCGAAGCGTCAAGCAAAAAGGTTCGGCTTAGTCCAAGAGGATCGAGGAGCTTGAAACAAGGCTTGCTGAGGCCAAGGCGGAGGTTGAGTCGTCGAAAGTCATGGCGGACAAGTCTATTACCGTGTATCGGGCCGATGCCAAGGCTGCTCAAATGGAGGCAAGAGAGGCAGCGGATACTGCCGATACTCGAGCACATTGGGTTGCCGAACTTGCTAAGTGTCGGTCTCGGAGGGAGACCCTCGAGGAGATACACGCTCGAGGTTTCGACCTTGCTGAAGAGATAAAAAGGGCTAAAGAACTCGAAGCTGATGTTGAAGCCTTGGCTTCTGATGGCGATGATGATGATGATGGTGATGATGACGGTAGCAAGAGCGGGTCCGGAGATGGGGGGAGCCCGGTGGAGAAAAGACTGCTCTCGATAATAACCCAGAAGCTTAGCCATTAGCTTCTTCTATGTTGCATTTATTTATGTAAACCATCTTTGTATATCTATACAAATATCCTTTTCTTTTACTGACTTTCTTCGTGAAGATTTCATTCATTCCTTGCGGATGTTTTCATGAGGATTTAGGTGATTTCATCGAATTCAGACTTCGTAGCCTTTATGGCCGAGTGAGTTTTTGCTCGAGCTCGAAATAAGATAGCCCTTAGGCTTTGATAATTGAGTGAGTGATTGTTTCGAACTCGAACTCAAAATATATTAGCCCGTAGACTTTTATGATCGAGTGAGTGAATGCTCGAACTCGAAGTAAGATAGCCCTTAGGCTTTAATAATTGAGTGAGTGATTCTGTAGGTGTAATAGTCGAGTGAGTGCTTGCTCGAACTCGAAATAAAAGTAGCCTGTAGGCTTAGTAGTCGAGTGAATGATTTAAACTCGAAGTAATGTAGCCTGTAGGCATAATGGTCGATTGGGTGCTTACTCGAACTCGAAATAAAAGTAGCCCGTAGGCTTAGTAGTCGAGTGAATGATTCGAACTCGAAGTAATGTAGCCCGTAGGCGTAATGGTCGAGTGAGTGCTTGCTCGAACTCGAAATAAAAGTAGCCCGTAAGCTTAGTAGTCGAGTGAATGATTCGAACTCGAAGTAACGTAGCCCGTAGGTGTAATGGTCGAGTGAGTGCTTGCTCGAACTCGAAATAAAAGTAGCCCGTAAGCTTAGTAGCCGAGTGAATGATTCAAACTCGAAGTAATGTAGCCCGTAGGTGCAATGGTCGAGTGAGTTCTTGCTCGAACTCGAAATAAAAGTAGCCCGTAGGCTTAGTGATCGAGTGAGTGCTTGCTCGAGCTCGATCATGTTTGCATAATGAATCTTGGATATAAGATATCGGTAAAGAAGAGAGATTTCTTTGCAAGTCATTTTACATCTGTTCATTTTTTGCGTCAGGACTCGGGCCAACTACATGAGCATGGTTCGTTTTGACCATTTGGCTCTTACAACGTTTCCTGTCGATACATTGTTTGTCATGAAATAACGAAGTAACTTCCTTTGCGCCGAACTTGATAATCGTCACAGATACGTTCCATGATAGAGCCCCCCGAGTATTCGAGGTTGATTGTAAAGAGTCCTCGGATACTCAGCAGTAGTATCGTTTTAGGCATTACACGTTCCAATTGCTTGGTAGTTGATTACCATTTTATCAGACCGGGCTTGTGGGATTTCCGCTAT